AAATTTGATAAGGGAGTAATTCGGCCTCTTCTGGTCGCGTCCGAACGGGCAATCATTCAGCTGAAAGTTAAATCGGGCGAAGGATAGCGCTTTAAATTAAATGTCTATTTTCAACGCTAAAATATTTTATATGACGTTTCGGTGTTGGTGAATTAAATTTATAATTAAAAATTTGTGTAGAAGCTACATTAATTTTGCTGTCACAGAAGCAATTTATTTTGACGTTAATTATAATATTTTTATAGCAATTTATTTATTTAAATACGTAACGTGTAGATTCTTGAATACTCAGTAAACGTAGAAATTAATAAAATTCATTAATGAGGTTATATTAATTTACATTAAATATATATATATATATATATATATATATATATATATATATATATATATATATATATATATATATAGTTTTAAAATTAGGTAAATAGTTTTAAGTTTTACGAAAATTAGTTTTAAGATTTGTATTATTACTAACATCTATGATCCTTGTGGTCGAAATAAACGACTTTTTTTTTAACGAATTACTAGACAACGCCCCTTCTTGTAGCGGAAGTGGTGGCAACGGCGACATAAGGTGTCTGAGTGCGTGTTTGCATGCGTGTGTGTGCGTGCGTGTGCGTGTGTGTCAATATATATATATATATATATATATATATATATATATATATATATATATAAATTTTAATTGTCCTTTTTTTAGTTGAAATTAATTACTACTTATACCTATGTTAAGGAATTTGAAAAAAGAAATTGACGATTAAAAAACGTCCCGCTGAATTCCTTCATAGACCCAACTGAGTTTTTTTTTTCTCAAATCAGTAATAAGGCTCAAAAATGTTGTTGCAAAAAATTGTGGAATCTATCTATATCTATAATAATCTACCTATATGAAAAATCAATATCCACTTGCAAGAAAAATCTCACAAGAAACGCAAAAGTATTTTTTTTTGAAAATAGTTTTATTAGCCGATTTCAATGAAAACAATTCTCAATTCGATTGCTTTTCTTGTATATGTACATATCTGTCTGGTATCTTTATAAATTGTGAACATTTTCTACGATAAGTTTACTGCCGATCACGTAGCATGTACATCAGCATTTAAAATTGCAATTAACAATGTCAATGGTGCTGGCGGGGATCGAACACGAGTTGCTCGCGTTATGATAAATTAATAAAAATTTTTTTTTTGAAATATAAAAGTGAAAAAGTAATTTGCATAAATCTGCATGCAAATTAAGAGCGTGTTATATAACACGTAACAAAAAATCCTATAATTCCCACTAAGTGCGTTTTCAGAATCAGTATTAAAACGTAAGCGTCTAACTGATGATCTAAATGATTTTAATAATTATTCATTGTCACGTAGTAAACTTGCATTTTCTATCAATAACCTGCACTTTTTTCAGACACTTATTATCAACAGTAAACACATTTTTATTGTAGTTTACACTTATAAATTAGTTTATATAACAGCACACTTTACTAACACCGCGAGCTCATTGGTCAAGTCAAATAGCTCGCACTAACGAGCTTCCTGTTACACTCTTCCGTCTCTTTTCACAGTATCACTCCCACAGATTTCAGGAAAGTGAGAGGAAAGATTTACCCATCAAATATGTATTTTAATTTAAAATATTTTTAAGGTCATGTTTTCTGAAGCAATGATATTTCTATACGTTTGAATACCTGCTTTTCTCGCTGTAGCGCATTTTCTTTGGAACTTTACTGACCAAAAAGAAAAGTTTGTTTCTATTAATAAGGACCTAAGAAGTAACAAAACGCAACATTTACTTAATAAGACACCCCAGACAGCTCGATTAAAATAAATAATTCATTACCGTATACATATTTTTAGTTCGCTTTGGAAAAAAAGCACTGATTAGGAACTTAAACAGAAGAATAGTGACTTATATGAAGTATTTTATTATAGTAATGCATATTTTAACCAACAAAAATAAAATGAAATTTGTAGCTTTTTGAATTATCAACGTACTAATATCCAATAAGGTACAGATAATAATTGTATCAAATTAAGTACAGTTATTATGTTAACCGTATAGTGACTGTTTAAGAAATCCACTACGCCATATCGTCCCGCAAGAGTTGACTGAGGGAAAAAACAAAGACAAACTAATAAAACTCGGTTGCTAACCGTCAATCGTAGCAACCGTGGCAACTATAAATTAGTAAGTTAATCTGTGGACCATGTTTAGCTGTGCTCTTTTAATAGGTTGGAACGGGAACGGGACCCAATGTTTATTAAAAACTTACCGTGCAGTAGGAGAAAAAGCGATTGGTACGCTTTGCATTCTCCTTTTTATTCCCTCGATATCGTGATTATGTAAAATATAAAATATCCCTGGATTGAACTATTTATAGCCACCGATGGTAATGAGCAGTTATCTGCAGTGTTTGGCCATCACTGACGTAGCTTTAAAAGTGTCAAGTCTACTAACTCCCATTTTCCGCCGCCTTCTTTACACAGATTTTAAAATATTAAACGAAAATAGAGTTGACCGGTGGAGAATATCTCAAGGAATTCAGTCCGCACTTTGTAATGGGTGTTTTTTTAGAGAACTTTAAGTTGGCAACACTTTTTTAATTGGTGGCCATTTTGTCAGCTGTCAAGTGATTAATGTCTAGTTTGGTTTGGCATTTCAACATGAATAGTCTGACGCCTATACAACGCTTCCAAATTGTGAAAATTTATTTTGAAAATCTTTGTTCTGTTCGAAATATGTATCGCGCATTACGTCCATTTTACGGTCAACATAATCAATAATCAGAGCAATTAATTCGATTAACTACGGGACGTTTTTGCACCACGTTTACTCTAAATGATAATATGTATCCACAGAGGTGTCATACAGTGCGTACAAAAGAAGTCATTGCTGCTGTAGAGCGTAGCGTAGAGGAAGACTCGAATCAGTCTATCCGCCACTGTGCACAGGAATTGGATATGTCCAGCCACTTTATGGAAGATTTTTGGGTAAGATCTTGGTTTGCGTGCTTACAAAATCCAACTCGTGCAAGAATTGAAGTCTCGCGATCACCTAGCAAGGCGTAGATTCGGTGAATGGGCCAAAAATAAGATTGCCGACGATCCCGATTTTCATAAGCGAATTTTGTTTAGCGATGAAGCTCACTTTTTGTCGAATGAATATGTCAATAAACAAAACTGCCGTATTTGGAGTGATGATAATCCTCAGGTGTATGTTGAGACACCGTTACATCCAGAAAAACTGACTGTGTGGTGTGCTTTATGGGCTGGTGGAATAATTGGTCCGTACTTCTTTAAAAACGATGCTGGCCAGAACGTTACAGTCAATGGTGACCGCTATAGAGCGATGATTACTGACTTTTTCGTTCATCAATTGAACAACCATGATGTGCAGGAGTTGTGGTTTCAACAAGATGGCGCAACATGTCACACAGCTCGTGCTACAATTGATTTATTGATGGAAACGTTTGGCAACCGCATAGTTTCACGTTTCGGACCCGTGAATTGGCGTCTAAGATCGTGCGATTTAACGCCGCTTGACTATTTTCTTTAGGGATATGTGAAGTCGCAAGTCTACGCCTATAAGCCCGAAACGATTGACTAATTGGAGGACAACATTCGGCGCGTTATTGCCGATATACGGTCACAAATGTTGGAAAAAGTCATCGAAAATTAGACCTCCAGATTAGACTAGGCCCGAGCCAGCCGTGGCGGTCATATGCCAGAAGTCATATTTAAATTATAATGCCAGAAGATTGTCTTTCGAATAAAGTAAATTTCATGTCAATAAAAAAAATCATGTTTGTTTTATTCCATTTCAAATTTCTATACCTCTAAAAGAACACCCGCCATTATTTTTTATATGGATTGCAATTAAGAACAAATAAATAAACATTATAATATGCCAAGTGAACTCGGAAAACAAAATATTGAAGCGATTAGTTCGATTTTCTTTAATATTTACATTTGCGAGGATGGATGGAATCACATAATATGTCCAAATCCGAGGAAAGGATAATTCATGTTTTACAGTCCGAAAATGCGATTAATTTATGTGTATTTAATTTTAATGAACTAGAATTTTTTCTACTTTATTGAAAGTAAATATACAGAGCATCGGTTAAATATTAACTAATGTATACGTTATTGAGCTCCGCTATATATAATAAAGGGTACGTATATGTAGGCTCGACCAAGGAACAAGGACGCTCTTACGTAATACCAGCACAATATCAAATTATATTGTATGGTGTGGAATATACTGTAACTACCATGCTGTAATTACGGTGTATTCGCAGAAAACTTGAAAAGATGCAATACAAAAATAGTAAAAATTGTAACTGTTTTTTAAAACTGTTTTTAGGCAAATTCAAAGCTCAGAGTTCAAAAATTACACAGAGTAGAAAAAATAGGACGCATTCGACGTGTACCTATTTTTTTTTTCATGTTCACAGATTTCACATAAACTGCTGAATTTATTTAAAATAATTATTAAATAGGCTTCAGGAGTTTTCCCAAAAAATTCAAATATGAATTTCAAAATTTAGATAGAAAAATAGGAAAATGAAAATTTAAATGTGCCTATTTAATCGACATTCTACTCGCTTCCTCCAACTTATGATATTCTTTAGCCTTTAAGAAGGGTCAATCGGTATTTTTTATAAAGAGAGGAACCAAGCTCACAAAAAAAATTATACATAAATCTTATATATTTATTCATGTTAATATGATAAATAGACATTTATGATAATATTAAACACATATAACCTATCTAGTAATAACACTTGGCTCAAGAAAATTCGTAGTTAAAAATTATAATTAGCGATTAGGTATAATTGTGAAATGCTTAACTTTCCCGGAGCCTATGTAATACCTGACTTTAATCCTATGATAAATCTTAATAACTATTTTTGTAAATACTATTTTTAACGATTGCTTTTTTTGTTTCAGATAATGCCCGCTGTATTTAAAAAAATACGCATGCCTTAAGGCAATATGAAAATCAAGAGGAGCGTAGACGTAAGGCTAATAGCCTTATGTACGACTTATATACTACTACCAGCCATAGCATGTCCATCACAGTGTGTTTGTAAATGGAAAAACGGAAAGAGATATGTTGAATGCACAGAAAAAGATTTGAAAGCAATACCCTACGCATTAGATTCAGAAACTCAAGTGTTAGATTTCACTGGTAATGATTTACAAATACTACAGAAGGAAATCTTTCAAAATCTTGGACTGCTTGATTTACAGAAGATTTATTTACAAAGATGCCGTTTACAAAAAGTAGATAATCATGCCTTTAAAGGACTTGCTAACTTAGTGGAACTTGATCTATCGAATAACTACCTAACTGTGATTCCCTCACCAAATTTTGTTTTCCTTCCAACTCTTATGAGGCTTTCTTTAAATAATAATCCCATAACTAATATAAAAACACATTGTTTTCAACACTTGTCCTATTTGAATACATTGGAAATGATTGGTTGTAAAATTGAAACAGTGGAAATTGAAGCATTTTCAGGTTTAAAACATTTAGAATGGTTAAGGTTAAATGGGAATAGGCTTTCCAGTATCAAAGGTGACAATATTTTTCCTGATACTTTGCGGGGTATTGACCTTTATAATAATAATTGGAATTGTGACTGCCATTTAAGAGACTTACAAAATTGGTTGTTGAATTTCAACATGCCACACATCGTTGAACCAGTTTGCTCCCTCCCGGAGCGTTTAAAGAACCGTACAATTACTAGTGTTGCTAAATTTGACTTGGCATGTTTACCGAAATTAGTTCCTACAACAATGTTTTTAGAGACTATTGCAGGTAACAACGTAACTCTTGAATGTATAGTGACTGCCGTACCAGAAGCCAAGATACATTGGTTGTACCAAGGACAAGTAATACGTAATTACTCAACTTTCGCTGTAGACTTTCACCATGTGTTTTATGTTGAGACCGGAAATGAAGAGAAAAAAAGCGAGTTATTTATATATAACATTGGGAATGATGATAATGGAACTTATTCTTGTGTAGCTGAAAATTCAGCTGGCCGTACTCGAGCAAATTATACTATTAGAATTCTGGTTAAAGAGGAACCTGTTGTTATCGTAGTGACATTTCCACACAGACACTTAGTAGTTATTATTACGGTTATTTTCTTAATAATAGTTTTATTGATAGCTATTATAGCTGTAGTACTTTTGAAGTTTAAAACAGATACAAGAAGTAGAAAGAAGAAAGAGAGTGGAAAGGATGTAGCTTTATGTAATCAAATTTTACCATCAAATAGAAGCAATGGATCTGTTCCGAAGAATAATGGCAGCGTAATAGTGAACGCTCATTCACATCACGCTTTACATTACACGGTGCAGGCAAACCGTGATTATGAGTCTAGTGAAACTTATCAAAGCAATAATATGAAGGGCTTCGTCGACAGAAATCCTGACCTAATTAGTGATGCGGAAACTGTCGCTAACAATGCACAGAATGAAAACACATTATCTGTTTACAAAACACAAACAGCAAGCAACACTTTTGAAGAGGAAACTGCATTTACAACACATAATGTACCACGTCAAGTTAAATGGCAGGATCAACAGAATTTAAATGGCATAAACATTCCTCAAAATGGGTTATATCAACATTCCGCCGATGTTCATTTAAATCCAGGATGCTTTTTAGATAGTGAAGGCTATCCATATGATTATGGTCTTCCTAAACGTCCTTGTCGTACACCCATTATGTCAAATTACTCTGTGATAGGACCTTTTTACCAAACTTTGCCTCATAATAGGCCTAAAGGTCAAAAACTTGCCTGTAAATTTGCAAAAGATAACGAATTTAATACAGCTCCACCGATATGCCCTAACTTTGAGGTATTCAACGGCACCAATGTTAGACGTACCCTTGAAGGATATCCGATACCAAGAAATCGACAAGTTGCTTTTGTTGGTAACGGTACTGTATATTACAATGAAGAATTTGTTCCATCACCTCCAGAGGGATACAAAACAGAAACTTTGCAGTGCTGTACACAAGAACCTTGTCCTTCTTGGGTAAGTCCAAAAGGAACATGCGCAGTAATGGTTCCCGTAGGGGTAGCTGAAACCCCAGGTAGATGTTATCAAGTCGAGACAAGATGTGTAGATACTCAGACAACTGACGCCCGAATCCCAGTAGATAATAGTGAAAGTGTTCTTAAGCCACTGCCTCAAGTATCTAATGCTAAGTGTGCATCAGATATATGTTCAGAAAGTCCCGATGAAGGATACGTGGGGGATGCAAATGATATCTGACGACGTCGTCACGATAACACGTAAAAATGGAAATTTAGACGCTAATAGAGTGATAATGCGACTGAGTAAGAATATAGGTTAGTATTACGTTATGAAGGTTTAACGAGTTTCAAATTATATATTTGATATCTCGATGTAATGTGCACAATTAATTAAATTAAATACATTCCGACGTATCACTTTGAATGTTCGGACTTTGTATTTTATTTTGTTTGATGGAACCTTATTTAAAATAAGTATATATTAAAACTGCCTTTACGTATGAAAAATCCGTTTTAAATAAAATAAAGGAAACGTTTTTTACAAAAAACACCTTTGGATAATTAAAATATTTGGCAAAGTTTTTAATACGTTCTTGGTAATTTAACGGACAATTTCTTAGGATGCCCTTACCATTATAAAGAAATATCAAATGGTAGTTTACTAAACTGAGTTCTTCGAGCTTCTCCATCACGATTCAATAATATTTTTATATAAGGGAAAGTAGAAGAATATGCGGCTCAACTGATGGTAAGTGACTAGTGCAGCTCATTTAACAAATGCAACATCAGGGTAATTGTAGATTGCACATACATTTCCCCTTGTGTTGCAGTCGGCCTTACAGAAAAGATAACATCGTTTATGATGGAACCATGCGCGCGGGCGTCTCAGTCCGTGACGTATATTTTTCTAACCTTGTTTTTAATTTTCTTTAAATGATCTCATACTGTTATGACACTTACATCAAAAGACCACTCTAGCTCAGCCCAAATTGAGAAGAATCCGCTTCTAAGTACTTTGACCTTCAATTTGTCATTATCAGTCTTCTTCTTCAAGCTGTCACGAGATATGTGAAAATAGATAAAAAAATAACACATGGATCTTTCGTTAGGAGTGCAAAGTATACATCAAGTTATAAGCTGTATATGTCATTGATTATGCGTGTCATTTGAAAAGTATTGATTCCTCGTTGAAAATCCTATTCAAAAACAGTACGAATTTTCTTCATGTTCATAATTGTATATACAGCGATTATACAGAAAAATAAATACCCAAACAAACAAAGAAAAATTTGATTTTGTGAAACGAAATAATTTGCCTTTTTATACCATATTGAGAATTACAATTCAAACCATATTTCAACAAAACGGCAATTTCATAGGTTTTGATTTTTTTTACATTCTATTTATGATTATCATAACCTCTATTTAATGTTATTGATAAAATTACTTTTTTAAACTAAAACGTGTGATATTTTTTATTAACTTTGGAATATTATTTGTACCGTTTGTTTGCGTCTTTTTAGTAATCAAAATATGTGTTTATTAACATTTTTGTCACAAAATCTTTAAATTACCTTCAAACAAAAAATGCCCATAATATTCACTTCGTTCATTAAACTAATGTAATTTCCCGATTATGTATAGTTACAGTTTAAGATAAAAATTATGGTCAACCTAAAAAAGTGTATATTTATGTTGAATATATTGTTTCAAAAATTTAATCCAACACTTTTGTGAAACTGTGGCCTTAATTTTGAAGTAAAATGGCATTTGTAATCATTCAAAACCCATTTTTTCGGTAATTTTGTTATTTAAAATACTGATATATTAAACTTATAAGCATTTAAATAAAAAATCTAATCAAAACAAAGGCTTATCAGAGCTAAAAAGTAAAGAAATTGTAATTAGTACATTTTAGTCATACATTAGGAGCAATAACCTTAAATTAGTTTTTTTATTAAGAAATGTATGCTATTGATATAGATTATTTTTATTATTCATTCGCGTTAAAACAACTTGTACTAAGTGCCAAGTATAGGTGTTTGTGTGTAGGTTTCCTAAAACTTGCACCTAAGATAATAATGTATTAAAAACACGTAACTTTTACTTGATTATTTTTGTGGTTCTCCTAGGATGAATTTTTAAAATAATGTTGTTATTTTAAGATAATGTTGTCACATACTAATGTTATAATTTTTGTGTGTTACATACGATTATTGTATACTGATATATTTTATAAATACTTTTCTTTAAATTGTTTTTGTTTGCGAAGTTTCCAATGAGACAACCTTAAGTTAGTAATAACTAAATATGGTACTATTTTTCTTAGTACACCTTAGGGACCATCCGTAACTTACGTCACACAAATTTAATGTTTTGTCCCCCCCCCCCACCGTTCTTATCACCCCCTGGTGTGACGTCATATATTTTTCAATTTTATATATCAGAAATATTTAAATTAAAATAAAATATTATATTTAATAGGCAAAATAAATACAAGGTAATAGACAAAATAAAAAACCAATTCAAAAACGATAAACGATTAATTATGTAAATTAAAGCTACGAAATTTAATCATTTTGTCTCTACAGACTTAGAACCTTTTTTTACATGTGGAAATGCCTACCCATTCAAGGCAAGGACGGGTTATGTCGGACTCGCACCGACGAAAATCCAATGGTGTACCACATTCGTCGCATATTAGCAGGTCCACGGGAACGATTTCGTACACATCCGCGGCCTCTCCAGTGCTGGACGGCCATTGGTGGCCCCTCATCGGGAGAGTACTACTACTCCTACTTCTCATTTTCAGGTAAGGCGCACCAGAACACATGGCGTGCCCTCCTCCGCGGCCTCCATTTTCTCGTGCGCAACTGATTCCCATGTCCGATGCGCGAAGGCCAAGGGGCCAGAAAAAACGAGCAGAAGCACTAGACTTCCCGACCCCAGCGGCGGATCTCGTCTATGGCTCCACGTTAACCAAGATTTGGATGCGGAGGGTAGGACGGTAAGGTAGGGGTAGGGAGTGGCGCCTCGAAATACCGACATCCTCTCCCCCCCGCAGCCTCACCACTAGCGCATGAATTAACGGTGCGGCCCCGTCTGAGTCGCAAAGGATAGGGCGAGTAACGTATCGCCATACCAGCACTTCTCTTCCTCCGCGACTCCACCTCAACTGCAGCGGTAGGGAGAGAGGGCATCCCTCTCGCCGCGGCCCACTAACACACATCCGAAATAAGCTCGCCAAGCCCATTTGGAGTAGCCTCTTCCGGCTGGCCCTACACCTCGGACCAGCCATGTAGGTTCCTCTTATTTCAACGCGGGTGAACAAGCCACGGCTTCTAAGACCCCCCGCCATGACAAGGCAGGAACCCGTACGGGGGGGGGGGGGGGACTTTGGACCTATTGCTTGATATTTTTATCACTGGCATATCAGGCACTTCGTTTTTGTTTTGTTGTATCAACATTTTTTGTTCTAACTATATAGCATCGTCATATTTAATGACGCGTGCGGTGGCACTTGACGAAGTTCTCACAAAAATTCGATGCACATTTCGCGTTTTAGTATTTTTGATTTTAAAATGTGACGTTATAATACAGTTTTAGCCCCTGTCCCTTGTCACGCAAAGTCACATTTTGTTGGCCCCCTTCCCCCACCTCCAAATTTTGATGTAATTTATGGATGGCCCCTAATCAAATAACCTGAAATATTTAAAATTATAACCTTTCATAGTTTATTTATAACGCAAAGCAAGGATTGTAAGGTATAAGCACCTATTTTCTCATTAGTGTATATATGAAAAACTGTAAACTATATGTAAATATTAGAAAAATATCCATAAGGAATCGATTAGCGAATAATTTAATAACTTAAATCGATATCAGGGTATCCTCCCTAAACATGTATTGTGTGTTTCAATAGCATTTATTTTATGAGGGAAAATATTATTAAACAAGAAACGCAAATGTTTTCTAAAAAACCAATACCATAACAACCTATCAAAAGTCTACCGCTGGACATAGGTCTCCCCCATAGATTTCTTAATAGATACTTTATTTGCCAATATTGCAATGCTTGGCAGATAGGTTGACAACCACATTTTTTATTTTAGTAGTTTTTCTCTGTAGTCTCTTACGGCACACACGAGACGATTGAGTTGTTAGATATTTATACACCGCCAAGACACGGTCAGCTTTGATCTTCTATCCTAATGCATTGAATGAATTCTAATGCATTGGGATCTCGGTATCCTAAGTATTACATAATGAAAACGTGGTGACATACATAATTCATCACCATGTTACGGATAAATAATATTTGTGCTATTTTATTCACGCTAGCATATTTTAAAGGTATATATTTATATGTATATTACGACAATCAGAATCTAAATGTCTTTGCCAACTTAAACTGCCTGAACAAGAATACATTAAGGGATATATATTCTGAGTCAAACATTAAAAGTGGAACAGTTTGGCCGTATTAAACTACGTTGAACAAGTTTGGTGATTGTAAACGCTTTAACAATTTGAGATATGTAATTTTGCCTCTCATGTTGAAAATAAAACTTTGCAGTTTGCACGCCACACGAGTAAGCACGCAAGTTTTACTTTTCGGTTTTTGTCATCCTTATTTTATTTGTTTCTAAGGCATGAGTTTTCTGTGAAATAAATGTTAATGAAACGCCGTCACAGGGAAGCGTAATGCATTGTAATATGAGACACATCTTTTATAAGCGAATGTAATAATTCTATTCCTTTTTCGTAATATGGGGTAGCAATAGTAAAATTGTATTTATAAAGTGATTCCATGTAGAATTTATACGGTTCCTCAACGTTAAAATAGAACAGTTACATTGTTGTAGTATGATGGCAAGAAATACTTTTCGTTTACTAAAAACCGATAACTATAAAGATTCAAGAAAATTTAGAGTTAAAATGTAGAGTCCTGAGTTGGGCTACGTATCACATATGTACTTCTAATATTCTTATCTACAAACTATGCGCTATTATCATAAAGTCATGTGTCAATCGAAATATTGTCCTATACGACAAGCTTTGGACGCGTCCACCGAACCGAGGGATGATCATCAATAAACTTTCTGCTGGAAGAAGTTATTATAACCACGCTATAATAACTTCTTCCTTCGGTTAATTATCTACGTGTTATATATTTTTTATATAATAAGAGTGTCAACGAGCCTAATGGTAAGTGAATGCTGTGACCCACAATAGACA